TGTGTGCATTTACAATTTCTTGTCCATACAAAGCTGGTTAGCTCCCCTCCTCAGCTCCTAGAATTGTAAATGTTTCAAGGAGTATTTTCCATGTTCAGAATTTCAGTGATTTTTGTCATGGTTCTTGCAGCTGCTGCTGCCATTCTTAGCTTTATATTGCCAGGCACTTAAGTGTCTCCATCTGTTCCCTTGCATTTCCCCAAACAACACCCTATACAGAATCTAGATGGTGTCAAAACTAAGTAATAGCCAAAACTTTAAGCCATGTTGGATAATAGGATGCTTTCCTTTGTGTAGGACACACTTTGTCCTTATGTCAGTAACACAGTAATGTGCTTTAGAGTTTATTTGGAAATAATTGCTTCTGAGATCACTTAGAAACATGCCTTTGTTATGACAAATGTATAGTGGAGGACTTGTGCTGGACACAGGACAAAGAAGAGTCCTAATCACAGTGTTGCCGTTAGAGCAGCTGTACTTCCCGAAGATAAACCAGTCATTATTCATGGCCTAAGGACATTGTTCCTAGCTCCCTTTTCCCAATTCACACCATTTTTCTTCTTATTCTCCTTCTCTGTCTTTCTGTTATTTTGAGATAGAAAATCATACCATGTAACCTTGGCTGGTCAGACTGGTCTTGAACATTGAACTTGTGGTGATTCTACTGTCTCTGCCCTGTACCCCAAGTTCTGGGATTGTAGGTATGTATATAACCTGATTTGATATAACCTGAAAATATTCTTAGATGTGGCCTCTCCCAATTCTGTAAACGTACCATCTCAAGTAGTAGAAACAGTCCAAGATACTGCCCAGAGCATCTCTTTCCCACATTAGAAGTACATATTTTGGGGGTATTTCACCCACCTTTATTTCCTTTGTCTTGATTGGAGAGGTTCAATTTCCTGCGTACAATAGAGTAGCTGTTCATCACTATAAGAAAGTACCTATGGTAATCAACTTATAAAGAGTAAAGGGGTTTTGGCTCACAATTTGGGGGGTTTAGTCCATGATCCAGTGACTGCAGCAAGATCATGGGACACACACAGCAGAACAAAACTTTTCAGCGCCCACCTATGAAGATAAACGAAAAGGGATACACAGACTTTGGGGAATATCCATAATTCTAACTGTAGCATGAAGCTTCTGGAGTCCGGGTAAAGAAAAATCCATTTTAAGAACACACAGAACTTGGCTCAACCTAATCTAGAAGAGAGTTTGTTAAAGAAGGCTTAACTGAGGGACATGGAGGTCAGTAGAGTGGCAAGTTGACCTCAGTCTTTAGAAGCAGTTCCTTGGGAGGTACAAGAGGAGATGCTGTGAGCCATATGGCAGTAAGTATGCCACTGTGCAAGTTAATGAGCAAACATGAGAGGCAAAGGGAGATGAGGAAGAGAAAAGTGAGTGAGGTGCTGGAAGGGAGCACGGCTGCCTCTTTGTCTCAGGGTTAATGCTTGTGAATTGTTCCTTTTTATATTTCAGACACAAGTCCAGGTTGCACAGAAAATAAGAATACTGGATGGTAGAACAATAGTTATTGTTCGATGTTGGACTTGAATGCATTTTTGAAGGAAGTAAATCATGTCTAGCAGTCATAATATAGATCAGCATCTTAGTTCAGAATGATATTTAATCAATAGATCAATACATAAAAGGCTTTCCATAGGGCTCTTTTGATCAATAATTGTTAGCCATTCAATGGCTTCAGTTTGTAAATGAATTGTCAGGAGATTATCCAGCAGATATCTCAACTATTTCAAGAACCAATCCTATCAGTAAGTAAATGGGTAAAAAGATACTGATACTTGGGGTTAGGGGCATGGTTGCTCACACATATAATCCCCCCCTGACATCTGAAACAGAATTGTAAGTCTGAGGACAGCTTGGGCTGCATGGTAAACCTAAGGTCAGCCTCGGCCACTTGCTGAGACCCATTTCCCAGTACAATGTTTAAGCAGTGCTATGGATATAATTCACTGGCAGATTGCTTGTCTTGCGTGCTCAAGAACTTGAGTTCAATCCTCAGGAGCACCACAGCAACAAGAAAGGACAATAAGCCTCCATCTATGTGAGCCAATTTTGTACTGGGGTTATTTTAATTATATTTGTGAAACAGAGGATTGGTGTTAATGCCTGTGAAAAGTCAGACACAATGTGAATTCCCCCAGGGCATTGATGTGCAGTAAAGACAGTTAGGGGGGTGGGAGTTGGCAATTATGAATAAGGATGGCATATATATTTTGTACCTATAACAATCACTATAAATTTAGTGGCTTAAAATGAGACAGACAATATTATATAGCCTTGGATGCAGAAAGGGCCTTACTATACTAAATCAAACAGCTCGTTTCTTTCATGTCTATGGAAGAATATCTTTTATAGCTTCTGCAGACAACCTGCATTCCATGGGTTCTGGCTTCTTTCCCTCTTCAAAGGCAACAATGGTTTTGTTTGGCTTTACCAATGCTGCTTTCCTGAGACACAAACTCTTAGGCCTCTGCCTGTCATACCTAAGTACCCTTGCAGTTACATTAGCTAGAATGATCTAGCATTTTTTTTTTTTTTTTTTTTTTTGCTAAATACGACTATTAACAACCTTAGTTCTACCTGAACCTCAATTCTCCTTGGCCAAATAACATGTTTACGTATCCTGGGTATTGACTTAAGGTTGTTGCTCTGTGAAACACTGGCTAGCTGCTTAAATGAATTTCTAAATGAACAAGTCCAGCAGCTTCAGTGTGTGCATAATGCGACTGCATTTTCCCCACAAAGGTAGAACGAAAAGCACACTTTAACAGGCTGTGCGACACACATACACACACAGGCACACACACCACCACCCACACACATACACACACCAGACACACACCACCACCACCCACACACACACATACACAACACACACACACCACCACACACACAAACACACACACTGTGACAGAAAGAATTATCTGTTGGTGCAAACCGGTGGTCGATTTACGAGGGCAGGCATAGTGTGGTCTTCCCTTTGGAATAGGGATAGTTGGGGGGGGGTAACAGAAGCCCCCACTTCAGATCCCTTAGAGACAGAAGAGCCCTCCTCCTCTTCATGGTTGCATGAACCAGTGAGAAAAACATGGGAGAATCAACAGGAACAACCTACTGGCTGGCTGTTGCTAGGTCACCTGTCCCCTCTCAGGCTGCGGTACTGAGTCCCCCCCCCACTTCCACTGGCGTCATATGAGTGGGTGGGGGGGAAACAGGGAGGGGCAGGCAATGTCCAGCCTCGTTTTGAAGTGCAGATGTACCTAGGGGCCCACTCAGTATCCCTCCGCTGCTCCCCAATTCCAGACACCCTCCTCCATGTAGTCCCCCCCTCCCCAAAGCCCTCATAGACCCTAGCTCTCAGGCATTCCCCCCACACTGGAGTGGCATCAGAAAAGTGGTGGTGGTCTCTAGTTAGGGTGAGCAGGGGGCTGCAGAAGCTCACTGTGCGACCCACCCCCTCCCCAGGGGAGCGGGACTGCGTGCAGCCCCGCCCTCTCGGAGTCGGAACTACGGTGGGCCCGGGAGGGGGCGTCGAGCCCTGCGCCATATCCCTCCGCCCCCTTCCCGACACCCTCGAGGCGAGCTGTGCCTGCCGCATCCTGCGCAACAGCCCCTGCCCGTTTGCTGCAGAGGCGTGGGGGCGGGACGCGTCTCTGCTATTCCACTCGCGCGCAAAGCGCCGAGAGCCCAGAGAGAGGAGCTGCGGAGGACGGAGCACAGCCGAAAGCAGACGGGGGACGCGGGGGAGCCCGCAGACCTGGGCCGTGCGCCTGGCCAGGCAAGTGGGGGTGTGTCGAGGGCTCGGGGCGGCCGCGCTCTGCGGACCACCGCCCGGCCCTGACAGTGCAGTGGGGGCGAGCGGGTCGCGGGGGCTCCTCGGAGTGGTGCGCGGTTCCCGGAGGTCCTAGACGGGAGGAGGAAGCGGGAACCTGGCTCAGGCTGAGGACCAAGGGGGCGGCTGGAGCGGCTGGCTGTGATGGTCTGGAGGCTGGCGGGGTAGACAGCCTGGCAGTTGGCTTCCCAGCGCTCGTGCCCCGCCCTCCACGGTGTCTCAACCCTGCAAACGTTACGGAATAGACAGGTGCGAGAGAAATAACGGTGCTATATTGGGGTACGGGGTCGCCCCGGAGCCCACGCGTTCAGGGGGGGGCCCGCCGGGGCCCGGGGGGGGGCGGGCCCCGGGGGGGGGGCGCGGGGCAGGTGTCCATCTCTGGGGCCAGCTCAGCTGATGTGGGTGGTGAGGCGCCTAGGCTACCAGGGCGCTGATCTGTTTCTGGAGAGGGACCCTTGTACCCTGCGCCCTGGGTGCCGTCCCTTCCCACAGGCTCCCGCTTGATGGCAAAGTCTCCTGTCTGCGCGGTAGGTCTGGCGTGTTCTGACAGGCCACAGTGACCATCTGTAGACCAGAGGCTTGAGGAAAGAGGAACAAGAAAATGGCGTGGATATCTGGAGGTGTGTGGCAATGGGAGTGGGCACCAGACTGTGAGTGGAGATGCGAAAATGGTGGGGGTGACAGATCAGACAGGTGGGGTATCCATTAGTGTCTTAGGAGAAATCTCATTTCTCACAGCCTTTCAGGTACTTTTCTCAATTCTCTTCCCCTCCCTTCCAAATTTGGGGTCTGAAAAGATGGTTTGGAGATGATGACGGAGTCATAAATCCAAGGACCACTTCAGAACCTGCTTTCTAGAATGTGCTGCGCCCTTCCCCCATTTTTTGCTGCGCAAGAAAAGGAAATGTGGCCACCTAGTGGTGAATCTTGAGAATTGCAAAAGGACTAATAAGTATGACATCAGGAAGTGGGTGTTACCCTCAGGAACCCTGCAGCCAGGCAAAATAAAACTAGAATGTTCCAGCAGTAGGACCCTAAATGCTGAAAGACACACGGTCTTGTCCTTTGTGGTGTTCTTCTCAAGAAGATCAACTGCTGCCATCATTTCCCGGTTACCTTGCATTGTCATCTCTTTGTCCACAGGCCTGCTTTAAGTCTGATCAGTTCTGCGAGAAAGAAAAAAGGCATCGAAAAGACTGTCTCAAGATCTCTGGAGGTTGGTGAGAATCGTGGGCAGTGGAGAACCCAGGTACTGAGGAAACAAATGCAGACTGTTGTAACCCAAGAGGGTGCATGATGTCTTTACTGTCCCCAAATCTGCCCACAGGTGCTGCCGTCATTTCCTGATTGTCTTACATTTTCCTCTTTGTCCACAGGCCTGCTTTAAGTCTGGTCATCTCTGCAAAAAAGAGGAAAG